TGACTTTGTATTCGCATCAATTGAGGGTCACTATCGAACATTCTCAGAATCACGCATGAGCCTTCTTTAGAAGACTATTTTGATAAAGTTCGCTAAGAAAGTTTTAGTTAGATTCGCCACTCCCAATGATTCTGAATCTTTTCGCTAGAGTTTTGTCTCGACCTTGTCCGATTCTGATCCATGTTGAAGCCCTGCCAACAACATTGAAACCCACGGCTGGAGTTTCTTCAACATCAACAGATTGCTCGGCTGGAACTAAATCTGGGTAATCCCAAATCTTTAAAGTTGCATCCACTTCAACAGAAGGATTCACATTGATCATATAGCCATATGAGGAATATCCCAGTAATCTATCTCCCTCAATGCCAAGCGACCAAACTTGTTGTCACAAGTTCGCTTGCTTAGGGGGCTAATGTTGAGGGATGAATTTGCATGGCTGCGTAACTGATGACATGTGCGGATCCACATCAGCAAAGGACCACAATACTTATCTTTTCAGATCTGACGTGCGATTCCAATTTTCTACTAATAGCTACAGTGGAATCAACATTACCAAAGGGGGGCACTTATTTGCTTCGTTGGAAATATTGCGGAATGTGACTCACTCTAACATCTATCTCCACGCACATGGCCAGACATGGTTAAGTTATTTTGGCAACATGGTTTGGCGTTTCTTAACGGCCATGTCCTCTACAGCGATGTTCTCTATTGTATCTCGCGGCTTCCAGCAATGGACAAAGAGCCTATTTTGCTATATGGCTCCCATCAAAGGGCAACAGGCTGATCTATATAGCTCCCAACGATGGACAATGGGTTGAGCATCCACTCCTACATATCTTTATCACTAGTTCCTATCAATGGACAATGAGCTGATCACATTACATTTACACAGCTCCCAACGATGGACAAAGGACTAGATATGCTACATATCTATCTCACTGGCTCTTGGAAATGGATAAAGAGTCAACACAACTCAGTACGATTAGTGTGAGGCTGGTAACAGTTGCAACCCTACGATCGGACAAGATGACTACCGTCAAGCGATGAAAATCCATCAAGGAGCGGCCGACAGTCTCTTGGTAATCACCCGTGCATGGTGGTGCGATGCCAAGCGAGCAACAACAATCAGGACCACCCTCTAACGGTGCGGGTACAGCAAGAAGGGCCAACATTTGTCAATGGTATCACACCTTGTCGTATTGGAGGCCATGGATATGGCTGGCATCCTCCTTCCATGTAGACAGCACCACCTTTCTTTATCACATCTTCATCGCTATGGCGAAGTCTGGTTTAACGAGATTTACCCTTTCACAACTTGGCGGATTAGCGAAAGTGCTTTTCTGATTTCACATAGTTCATGCTCCAGCCATGGACGAAGCTAGTCACCGTTGTCCCTCTAGCTATAAGAAAGCTATCCATGGCTAACCCCATAATACTTATGCAACATGGCCTGCGGTCATGTATATCATCATCTTTCTATACCAAGGGACAAAGTTACCAATTGACGATAATCCCAATCTATAAGATATCTCTTTTATATTCTAAGTGTTAGCAAGTACCGCCAGCTAGCAAAGCTTGGCCTGGGATAACGATATTGCAGCACACACCCATGTCATCCATTCTCTATTCTGGCGCAGCACCAACCATGCATAGCAACAATATAGTAGCACCTGCCATGGCTAGCGAATAAATGGGAGCAGCGAACATTTGCCCACATGGTCTTCCTCAACATAAGGGAGTTCCCTTCTTCGCTATGTATATTCATATATTGCTTGTATCTAAAATACTCAGATATATGCTTATATGTACTTTGTTATTATCGCAGATAAGTGCAAGCCCGTGAATCCAAGTTCATGGGAATTACTTGAGATAAACTATGGGGGTAGTGGTTTGGCAAGCATGGATGGGTGAACATTGCTTGTCTAGCGAAGTAAGGCATTCGCGTTGGCGAAGCTTGGCGTTAGTGATGTTGCCTGATATTGCCAGAAAAGGTTGGGTGGCGAAGGTGTGAAAATAAACTTAACTCCCGAAACAGTACCCTTTGATGCTAACCAAAGGCTGGAAATCCCATTGAAGACCAATTGAAGATGCCACTTGAGTCACCATCAACAACTTGCAGCCATATTTAATGCAAGGGTAGCTGCACAAGTTTCATGGGCTTGGAAACTACTATGGAAGATCACTATTTGCTTGCAAAATCTCCCAAAATATTGTACAGAGCTTGGGGAACTTACCAAATCACTATGTAGGTGGTGTTTCTGCCAGTTGCACTCAAGCATCCCCCAAAAACAGAGTTTCATATGGCTGGGAGAATTTCCAATAATGGCTAGTTTCCAGTCCATTGCTAGAACCAACGGGCAACTCATGATGCTAATGCTAGAGCAGTCGTCAACAATGCCCGGAACCACTCTAAGCTTGACAACTCATCTAGACCCATCTGTACATTTCTGATCTATTAAGCATAATTACAGAACTACCCCTGATTGCATATATCATCCCTCCTTTGCCATTCAAAAAGGGACATGCAGAATAACCCATATTTTCTTCTCATGCACGAGATCCCCATTCTTCCTCTCTCATAAAAATTACTCCACCTGCAATCCATCATCTCGCATGTTCAAAGCTACCTAGAAACCATCGTTTCTCTACATCTCTAATATTGCAAAATGATTTCTAGCCTCGCATGATAGTCTTCAATATCTCAAAGTATTCCCAGATTTGTAGGATATTATGGCTGGGAAACAATAGCTTACAGTTCCATCTCCCATGTAATTCTTCTTGAGCATCAGACGATCAAGTCACATGGTTAGCATCAAAGAACGGGATTGGGAGTTCCACCCATAAGCGTCCCTAAGCGGACACCCTTCCTTCTTCCATATTTATTTTCGAGTTTATCCTTTTTGCTCTCTTTGTTCCTGAAGAAATTTCGGAAGGAGGGTCGTTACGCCCTTCGTGTTCAACATGAGAATTATGCATTATAGGGTGAAAATGTTCACTAGAGATGACAGAGGTTTTATTTGGTGTCATTACTACTATGTCATGGTGTTCTACGTGTGAAAGCAACTTCAAAATTGTAATCTTTGAACCCTATATATTAATCATCTTCATCACCCTTCCAGCCATATATGCATATTCTTATTGTTGATTTTGATAGTTGTATAATCATTCCGAATCTGTAAGAAGTCTGTTATCGTTGTTTGGCTTCAGTTGCTTGGCCAGGGAATTTATGTTCTGCAACTTTGTTGGGGAGCTTGTTGTGTGATATCATTGCTAGACAAAACGGGATAGCCCGTAGCACATAGCCATGTGCACGTGAGATAGTTGCTGCCGAAAGAACCCCTCCTCGTCTCCACAAGTGTCATCCTAGTCAGCCTCCACATCATCACCTCTGCTAACTTATCAACCTACATCACGAGCACACCCTAACATACTTATTTTGTTTGTACTTATATAATAACAATAATTTAAAAAAAAAAATACAAAAGTAAACCTTAAGCCTAAAGAAATCACACATATAATGATATTAACTTGTATAGGCCTCTTTTTTTCTTAAACTAAGTACACAATTATGAACTTGTAGATTACCAGGTACTGTTAAGTTAATTATGAAGTATAGATATTTGAGAATTAAATAACTACTAAATCTAAAAACTATATCTAAAAATTTTTAAATTAAATACTAAATATAACTCATACCTTAAATATATCCAAAAATGCTTATCCCTAATTGCCCCTTCTCCCTTCTTCTTCTTCTTCTTTTTTTTTTTTTTTTCATCTTTTTTTTCATCCAATTTTCCCTCTTATTTCATTTTATATTGCTTTGGTAGACCAACCACTTTAACTAATAAGAGATCGCATGTGGATTATACCTCCTTTCTGTGACCAGGTAAGTCTTTCAGAACGTCAAAATATAACCAGAAGTGGGCCCTAGTTTCAACCACTGATTTCTCTAATCTTTGTTCGGTG